GAGCAGCTATATTTGTTGATGAGGAGTTGATGACAATAAAGCACCTCCATAAATAAGGACCCTCGAGGTGTATGACTGACTATCCGACCGTCATGCGAAAACTGGGAAAACTCATAAAACCCAGACATCGCTGAGTGTGAAAACTGTACAGGAGGTGTCTGTGCTGCGGCCATGGGTGATATTGAACCCACCAAAATATGAGCATATGAACCCCAAGTCGGATATGCAATCATAGACCCATAATAGCCTTCAGGAGGGGTCATATAACTCTGTGACGGTGGCGGCGGCGGGGTCATAAAACCAGGTGGCGGTGGCGGCATCTGGTAATGGAAAGGCGGTGGTGACATCATATATGGCTTCGGTATGTAAGCTGGTGGATACGGTGGCTGCTGTGAAGGTCCTGCTGGTGCAGCTGAGGATGAACCGGAAGCACCTGCTCTCCGTCCACGAGTCGGGGGACGATGGTGTTGTATCGGTGAACGTCTCTGTCGACGTCGCGGAAAGGTCTGGCCTCGTGCATCCTCAGGAAGCAGAAACAGTTTCCCGTTACTGTTGAACCACTCGTAATAACCGTCAGAAACCATCAAGAGGTCAAGTAAAATGGGCTCTCTACGGGGAAGGCGCTGATGTCGATCCTCCCACAACACGACCCACACATGATGCCTCACCAGTCAATTTGTATCTGTCTTGCCGTGTCTATCTGTGCTATGCAACTCGTCCATATTACGAGGTACTTCTGAAATTGGTTGAAAACAACCAAATTGCCGGAGCACGCGATTAATGGAGTGCCACTCGACGGTCGCATAACATTAAATGGACTATCGCCATCCAAACATCTGATGGGCCCCTCAACTTAGGTGGGATCATCACCCTCACATCATTAGTAGAATATGTCACCCATTCAAACTAAAATAAATATATATAATTTTTATCAAAATAATAATCTAATTATATAACTATAATCTAAAATCGATTTTTAAACATTAAAATTCATACCTGTGTGTCAGCCTTCTGATCGATTAACACCCTAATTTTTTCTAAATCATCAGGTAGCTCCTGATGATTTTTCCTATCAGTAGACCACCTATTCATGAAAATAATTTCTTATTCACTGTATAAAATTATTAATATACAAAATCAGTTTTATAATTACCTTAGGAGTAGCGGAAATACGAATGGATTCTTGACAACGGGACATAAAAAGGACAATCGATACCATGCCCAAGACTGCAGCAGTAGGAGACATCCGCCGATAGCATTACGCCTGTAGTCAATGGCTCGACACATCTCCCTGTACAGGCAAGTCAAAACTACCGAGCCCCAACTGAGTGATCCGGCCAGATGAAAGTCGCCAAGATGTTGCAACCACATACAGTGAACTTGGTTGCGCGATTTGTCCGGCATCAGCAACCCTCCTATCAGCTGCAGTATGCATACCCGTGCATACTGTTTAACTTCATCGTCAGACGCGTCCTCGCTCAACTCCCGAAAATTGGCATCTAACCAATTTAACGATATCCATCCACCGTTAAAATTTTCCGGGACACGTCCTAGACTAACCCAGCACAAAGTAGTCCAAGAACCGGAAGCTATCCCTGATATCACACCTCCATCCACGGGAACCCCAGGTGCATAGAAACATCCTCAAGCGTGATCGTGCACTCTCTGCACGGAAGATGAAATGTGTGGGTCTCCGGCCTCCACCGCTCTACTAAGGCAGAAATAAGGTCCGGTTCTATCTTACAATGACCCTGATATCTACCTAGGTGACCGAATCCAACCTCTACTAAATACAATATTACACGAGTAGGTATACTAACTTAAGGTTCCTAATAAAAAGATCTAATATACGGTCTCTCTCCTACAATATAAATAATTACACAAATTAATTTTTAAACTAATAATCATGCATTAAATTAATTAATTAAATTAAACGTTAAAATGTTACCGTATCAGCAAAGTGTCGAGATATGATTTCCATCTAACCAAAGTAAACCGCCTTCCATTTTATATGCAAAAAAAAATTAATTGAATAAAATATTAAACAATTAAAATAATTAAATAAATTACTAAAAATATTAAATATAATAAAATATACTTTAATAAGATAATATAAGAGTATTTGAGAGAAGTTGAGAGGATTTAGTGTGATGAAAGTGATTGAGAATGGGGTATTTATAGGGAGGGATAGGTGTGAACGAGCGGGGTAGGTTGATAATTAATGGTATAGCGCGGGGCAGGGACCGCGCCTTTCTGACGCGTGTCAGAATCACAGGTAAGGCGCGGCCCCTGTCCCGCGCTATACCCTTAATTACCAACCTGTCCTGCGTCATACACACGTGTATCTATGTTAACATAAGACGCGTCGCAGGGGCGCGTCTTACCCACACGTGGTACCAAATCAGCGTATAGCCATGCAGGAGACGCTCTTTATTACAAAGGGTGTTAAATCGAGAAATATAGTCTGACCTGTGCTTGATCGAAAATATTAAATTAAAAATATAATTTTTCAGAAAAAACGCCGTTAAATACTTACGATCGATCATCATATTTTTATTAAAAAAGTTAATTCGTTGATAAAAATTAAAAAAAATAATACACTTAATTTATGTAGTTTATACTCATATTACGTATCTTTAAAAAAATGACACGTGCTGGTTTTCAGTTACACCTCCTACGATACATTTCACTTTTCAGACAAACTCCAAAGTCCAAAGCTCATACAAAAACCTCCACAAAGACCACTTCTTTCTACTCCTCCTCAAACAAATCAAACAGAGGTGTTTGATCGCCGGAAATCTAATCTCCGGTGAAAATGACGGTAGAAAGTTCACCGGACTGGCTTCCCCCTGGCTGGAACCGAGAGTTCAGTTTCCAAAAGACTGGTCGCCGAATCACGGTTTGTTAATTATTACCCAGCTAGAATTGTACGTCTGTGTTTTAGTTTTTATTTTAAAAGAAAATTAGTGTTTTTTTGGAGAATATTTAGCAAAGAAAAAGACAAAATGGACTGATGAAGTTAAAGATCAAAGATTACAGTAGCTTGTATTAGTCGATGATCGGTTGTTTTTCAGTTGCATGTGAAAGAAATTATGTCGAATGATAACTGTTGTTTCCTGCATGTTGAATTTGGGGGTTAGATGGATAAACAAGGGTTCTATTTTTCGTTGAATTCATAAGTTTTGGAGGCCGAAGGGATCGAGGTTTGATTCTGTTGGTTTTGCATTTTGGGGATATACATTGCATGGAAATGGGAGTTCTTTGAAACTCTGGTACTCGGCGGTAAAGGCGCGTAACAACGGGTCGATTTTGTTCTGTTCAAAGATCTTTTATAGGCAATGGAATGTTCTTGTCGTTTTTATGCGGGAAGACGTTTCGTGGCACTGAAACATTGATTTCTTGGTTCATGCTTCAATGATTGATGATATGGTGACAGAAATTCGATATTAAGTCTATTTACCTCGATTAACATTTTTTGAGGGTATTATATGTCCTGTTTTCTTATGTAGCAATATGAATCCGGCAAGCGGTCGGAAGTTCTTTACCAAGGATGATCTTCTCCAATATACCAAAATGGAAAGCAAACAATTTGATGACAAGCTGCCAACATTAAGGAAAAATATAACATCATCAGCGAACGATGGCTGTAAGTGTGGTTAATTATTTAACTGTACTTTTTGTCCCTTTTTTTCATTCGTTTATCTAATTATCATATATATTGCTTTTCTTGTTGCGGATATATGTTAATCCTTCAGCTGGATTTGGATTCTATTTCAAGTCAGTGAGGTATTCGGGATTCTTAACAGAGTCGAGCTCTAAAGTAGGAAACACATAACAAAGAATGAACTATTGTGTCTTGATAATCAATTATGGCAACATTTCAAGCAAGTTCATAGCCTTCACTTCTATTTACTCGATCTTCATACAGACTGCTGTAAAAGAAAATAAACGTCCGGAATGGTTACCTAAGGATTGGCTCGTGGAGGTAAAAACCCGAAAGAGTGGTCTAACTTTTGAAAGACGAGTCAAGGTATGTGGAATTTGTTCTTCTTTTATGCGTAGGAATCACAAGGCATTTCCCTCTTCTATTGTCATATGGAATTCGTAATACTGTATTTTTCATGGACTAGCTTTTGCCTTACTGCATCAATGTCCTGTCCTGTAGGCATCTGAACTGTATCTATAAACGAACATGATTTTTAATTAACACTATGCATACTAACATGAGGAAATGTAAACTCTTTCTTCTCTTTCTAATATTTCAATTTTAGTTTTATTGAATTGCTTTCTTGTTGCAGATGTATGTTGATCCGTCAACTGGACTTAAATTCTATTCCAAGCCACAGGTGTTCCGATTTCTTGGCCTTGAAGTATCGAGTAAGAGAAAACCTGAGAAAAAAAAAAGAGATTCCCGCTCTAGAAAAAAAGTCGGTTCTCAAAATCATTTTGCTACCATTTTTGTTTCTGTCATTTCTATTTATTTAGTTTGCAGACGGAGAGATTGGTGGTGTCTTAGCACATACAATGCATAAAGTTTTACCTTATTTAGGATATATTTTACGAAACATAGAAAATTGTTTATTTTTATCTTCTGAATAACATATGCTGTCTTGATTTTTCTATAGGTTGTAATCGAGAAGTCAACCGATGATGATTTACCATCAGGGTGATTAAGGAAGTTAAGATTAGAAGGAACGTATATGGAGTCCGAAGATATTCGTATGATATTTCTTTCGAAATCATGCGGTCCCCTAGAATATTTTATTTTAATCATACACGGACAAAATCCAACTTGGCTCTTGCCCTCGATTTTGTACACACACCACCAAATATTTTGTGCTGAATCTTGTGCTTGTGTTGCTTAAAGCTTTGCCTTGATAGTGTCATGAATTAACTGCTGCGGAGATTCCTTTAAACATGCATAGTATTTTTCAAATGTTCTTTTTTTTAATTATATTTTTCAAATGTTGATTGGTAATACTATAACTGCTACAGTATTACACCGATCCAGTCAGCGGCTTTGTTTTTTGCTCGAAAACTACTGTTCTTCACTATCTAGAAACTGGAGAGATTGCTGAAACTGCTTTTTTACCAAAGAAGGACAACAGTGGCCAAATTTTAGTTAATGCAGATGAATCAGTAAGTTTGTACGAAGTTTAGTTTCATCCGATTCCGTTATCATTTCATTTGGTCAGATTTTCACATGCTAGATTTAATTAAATAATTTCAACGATGCATGCTGTATCAAAAGTGAAATTATGATATCATTTATTAATGATGAATGCTTTATTTAGACGAGTGATTTTATCCTTGCCGTCTGTTTATAATAGCAACTCCCAGCAGCTAAGAGGAAGAAAGTGAAACATCTTGCTGACGGCTCGTTATAGGTGAGGGGTGGAAAACTACAAACCCTTGTAAGTTGTTAACAACCAACTTGAGAATTTGGGTCGGGGAGGGCTTACAAGTGAAACATTTGTGAATATTTTTTTCTGCAGGTGGGGAGACATCTGATAGGAGTATCTTACCTGACCTAGACACGGAGACCTTCGAGAAAGGGCAATGTAATAATGACTATGATGAATGAAACGGAAAAGAAGAGCAGCATGGACTCTAAGAGTTCATGCAAGTCTGAGAATAAAAGAGCTTGATTTGCCTCAAGGGTTATCAGATCAGCTCGATCGGCTTGAACCTAAGCCTTGCCTAAGTGAAATCATTGGTTCATGTGTTTTAGACGAGAAATCACATCTGAAGTTCAATGTTCACTCCAATCCAGAGGTAGCAAAGCAAGCCTAGGATTCAACAATTAAATCAAATTGTGGGCTAGCGGAGAAGATTATAAAGCCCATCGAAGACGAAGATATTCTCGGAAAGCAGCCACAAAAGTTGAGACTGAGCAGACCAGTGACAGTAAATCAGAAGTACAGCCTTTGTTTTCTTCAGAGCAATGTCTAAAGCTTACACTGAAGACTCTTAAAGGTGGGGTACAACCACATGAGGATGCTGCCAATGAAGGTCTTGTTCAACTCCAGCTTCTAGTGTCCTGCAAGAGAAGAGTCTACGTAAAACAAGAATGGAAAGCAAGAGAAGTAGTAGAAACTAAGAACTCGAGCAAGTTCAAGAAGATGAAAGAGCTTGACTTGACTGTCGGTTTTCAACACCACTTGCTGTTCTTGAACATGAGCATGTTGACAATGAAGCAAAACCACCACGTGTTTCGGTGGATAAAGCAACTCGGAGGCTAAATATTGACCCTATTGCCACGCTTCCACATCAAGCTTCTCCTGTGACAGTCAATCCAGAAATCGATAACATTAATTCCCATGAAGTTTTTGGAGAGCAACTGCTAATGCCAGAAACTCAGGAAGGCAGTGACAGCAAGTTAGAAGTACAACATTTCTTTTGGCAATCAAGACTCCTACAGGTGCAATACCATTAGAGGATGCTATCAGTGAAGGGCTCGTTAAAACGTCTATTGCTAATGTCCAGCAACATAAGAATCTAATTGAAAACACGAACTGAACGTAGCAGCTGTAAGAAAACTCTTTTTAGCTCAGTTGGGTATAAAGAAAGATGTGGATTTGCAACAGGGAACTTCAAAACAACTTGTCAGGCACACACAAGTGCTCGACTTTGCAGCTGGAAAGATTTATGATAGCAAAGCCATTCAATATGTGGATTTGACTCCAGTGAATCTGACAGTGAAATCATCTCAACAACTTGAGATTGGACCAAGAACGGCGGTTGAACATCAGAAATTTACGTACAATACCACTTCGTCTCATGACGAATCAAGCAACAGCATAGAGCCTCATAAAAACAAAACTGTTCTCGCACAATCGAATGATGAGAATTCAGGGAAGCTATCAGCAATTCCATTTGGGAGCTTTTGGTCTGATTGGTCTGATTCTTTCTTTGAGTCTCCTTCAAGATTCTTGCAAGTTCTAGTCCCGCAGGAGATAGTTTTGCTTCTCAGAGGAACTTCCACCAATCTTTTTGCAGATATGGAAACTTTGCACCGCTCATGGGCAACCCGTTCAGCAACAACAATTCCCTTTGAATCCTCCATCCCTGAGCTTACCTAAAAGCAACACTACTAGTGCTAAAAAATCTTACAGGAAGGAGAAAAAGAAATTACCAGACAAGGTGACATAGTCCTAGATATAAAGCTGTCCTAAAGGAAGCATATCACTGCCTGACATCTAAAGTCGACTTCAGGTTAGATATTTCTTTTTGAAGCTGACATCTTTTTGGTGTTCCGGCTTTTGTATTTTGGAATGCTTCTTTAGAAGAACATAGAATAGGGTAAATCGGTAAAGGCTAGTTTTAAATAGTCGGCTGTGTTAAACAAAGGCGTTAATCCACCGTCGCCTTGAATTATCTTGATCTTTGTTAACAATGCTAGAAGGGCTGCTTTATAATCTAAGGTGTCAACAGCTTCTTGTTTTTTCCTTCAATATGCTTTGGGTATCCATTAGATTTTAAGCACAGTAACCTACCCGATTAGCATCTCTCGATTTCCGAGTGATTCGCAATTAAGATTTTAACTGCATTAACATTTAAAACTTAAATGATTAAAATGCCTTACGTTATTTGCTTCCATTCTAGCCTGCATTAATCAGTTTGACAATGATTTGAGAAAATTAAAGTACAAATTATTAATAATCTCCCAGTCACAAGTAACCGAAACAAAACTCGAAGACACACGATAACAGCTCAAAAGCAAACATGATAGTTGCTGGAGCAGAAATTAAGATTGAAAACTAAAAGTAGTAGTCTAATCGGTGTAAGTAGACTGCTTCCACCCTCCAAAAGATTCATCAACTTGGTAATCCCTGGATTGATGTTCCTGTTGCAAGATGCAATGGACGATTTTACATTTTATTTACCATTCGACTCATACACCTGTATGAGGTGAAAGTTCAGTAGATTCAGATTCAAGCATCAACAAAGCAAATACAAACAGTACCTCTGGGGTGAAAGAGGCCAATTCTAATCTCCCCACAATAGCTTTCGTCCTTGACAACATTATATGCAGTTGGGGGAAGGTGTCCTCCCTCGAATACAGGCTCCAGAGGTATGCTTCAATTATCATTAAAACATGAGCATCAGATATGGGGTATGGGATATGATATTCAATAGAAGAAATATGTTTCGAGCACATATCCTATCCGAATACTTGCACTCTCGATCTGAGTCATATAGGAGAGGATATAGTAGTAATACTCACGTTACTTCCCCGATGAAATCGTCCTGAGAACCGGTATCACTGTCCAGTATTTTCACTTTGAGTTCCGAAACACCTTCCGAGATATTGAATTCAAAATTCTCATTCCATTCTGGTTCTGACCCTTTTCCTGAGAAAAATATTGTTTCAAAACTCTATAAGACATAATTACAGACTAAGAGTAAGAACAAAGTTTGAATCATGATAATTGATATATTATCCAGTCAGATGAATAACGTGTTAAGAATTTAGATTGATCACAAGTCCAACCTGATGCAACGCTGCTTTTCTGCTCCTGGGTTCGGCAAGTGAGAAGCACATAAGGATCCATGTTACCTGCTCGTTCCCCATATTTTCATTTCCCAGAAACATCAGCAACACCAAACATGAAGATATAAGCAATAAAAACAAGGCATTACGCCAAATTCCTTTGAAAAATTAAACATATACCTATATCAGATCTGACATGTGAATATCTATATCTACATATATAATCTTATAAACATGAAGAACTAAACTACTATTGATCAATGCAGTTCAGATGCGATTTCGATCAGATCACTTCTGATTGGACAAAAATTCTTGATCGATCGAAATTATCCTGAGATCGTAACGGAAAACAGCTAAAAGCATTGAAATGTACCCAGATCTACCAGATAACGCTGAAATTGAGTAAACTGTAAAGAAGACAAAAACCAGCAAGATTTCAGATTAACCAAAGAAGGAACAGGACTCACAGAGAAAATCAGTGTTCTCAAGACCTTTGGCACTAACAAGAACAACTTGAAGGGTTCCCTGAGGCATGTTCTTAGAGCGTAGAGACCGAGAAAGAAGAATGTGTGAAGACAGACAAGATCCCTCAGAGCAATATATATATAATATATATATATATATTATATAATAAAGGGGAATTGCTTCTTTCTTGGATCTCTTTCTGTATATTCTTTTAAGAAGGAAATATTATATTCTTTTTAGAAATGACCATCCAGCTCAGTTGGTAGAGTACAAGATTTTAACTTTGAGATCGTGGGATCGAGTCCCACGGAGGGCATTTCATAATTCGGAGGTCTCTTACGAAAGCTGCTCTCAACTTGATGTTACCTACTATCTTACCTCCCCTACCCCATATATATATGAGAAAAAGGGATAGCCTTTTCAGAAGGAAACAGTGAAAATAATTCACGGTCGCCTCAACTAGTCAACTACCATGTATGTGAAGATATACCATATATGAACTGTTCGGGTTTATGGTATGAACATTAGTTGAATTCTTTGTCCGAGTCTTAATTGGGTCAAGTCTAAATTTAAACTACATGATTTCTAAACACTTTGGTTATTCATATCTAAACAATGCCTTGAAGGAAATTTTCAATTTTGTTCACTCTAAATGATTTCTTTGATGGTAGTGACTTCAGTTAAAAAACACGATCTTAGTGATCAAAATATAAACATTTTAATAGTTCAGTGGTTATTAATGTAGTTTACCGTATAAACTTTTATTATAACTAATTATAAATTTAGTCAAAAAAATAAGTTAATCAAACCAGGTAACAATGTAACATTATTAAAAAGGTTAGAAAAATTCTATATCGATTGTGTGAATAGCACCGTTAACGATGGGCATCATTAAATTAATTTATAAAATGTTAAATTATAAAGTATTAAACATATAATTATAAATAGTTAAAAATATAAATGTAATTTAATGAAAATACAATATTTATAAAACATTAGTTTTTATGATAAATTATACCATTGATCACTTAACTGTTTACCTCTTTTACTTTAACTATCGATTTTTCAATTTTGTCAATCGGGTCACCTAACTATTTAAATCCTCTCAATCAAGTCACATGCCGTTAAATATTAACGGATGAGATGATGTGGTAGTTAATAAATTTTGTATAATTACACATTTAGTCCCCATTACTTACACCTTCAATTAATTTGGTCCTAACTTATAATTAATTCAGTAAATTTAATCCTCAATCAAATGGTGACATTTGTAACTATGTGATTGAATGTTTTTTCTTAATATTTTTATTTAATTTAATAAATTTTCCATCCAATCAAATGGTGCCACGTGCCACTAATTAAATGAATATAAAATAAATTAAATCAATTACTGCTGTTGATAGGGTTTGAAACTAAGACGTAAGGAGAGGATGGAAATGCCCCAACCATTGGGTTGCACCATTCAAATAACAAATTTATCACGACATAATATATATAGTTAATGAAAATAAAAAAAAGGAAAAATGACTTAATAAGAACTCCAACATAGAACAATTGAATAATACGATAATATGATATATATACACAAATAT